AGGGGAAGAGGGATCTCTCAGAAAAAGTTTTGCCCCTCCTGACCACTCCTCTCTGAAAAGCACCAGAAAGTTTTAGATGAGCAGAAATGAAGCAAAATCTGTGGATGGCATGTGATGGAGAACCCTGTTCTCCCTGGGGAAGGCTGCAAGTGCAATTCAGACACCAAAGACTGCTCTCATCTGTCTGGTTTGGCCTCCCTGACCTCTTGCTGAGGGAAGAGAGGAGTGAAGCATGCAAGGAGAGGGAAATGGGTCCTTGTACCAGGATTAGCTGATAGAGGTCTGTCAAGGAGAAACCACACAGGGGAGATCTGGCTGAGCTAGGGCTGAGGCTGCTGGAGAAGGCCAGGCATTTCCCCAAATACCCATCATCATCATCCTCCCAGGGCTTGCTGGGAGCATACCCTGGGTTCTCATTCCTTCACACTGAGGTATCCAGGCGCTTTGGAAATCCTCAGAGCCGGTGCAAATATTCCCCAGGGCACAAACACCAGGAAGGACAGCACCTGGCACAACAGTTTCCAGGATACATTCAAGATAAGGAGAGGAGGGAATAAAAACCCAGAGAATAAATACAAGCTACATATGGAGCTGCAATCTGCTGCGGGAGCAGCCTTTGGATGCTGTGCTGGGAGACGTTTCACCATGGATACCCCAAATGAGGTTCAAGCCAGCTTTGATCATCTCTGCAGAAAGGGACAGTCCTGTGTGCACAGAGAGATAGGCAAGATGACATAATAGGTTTTTTCTAACTCAGAGTCTTACACTTCTATAATCTGGCAGCTAAAGGTCACAGATTTCTCAAGGCTAATGCTCACTGTCTATCTCCTGCAATGCAGTGGTGAGGGAATTAGCCTGTCAATAACAATCAGAGCTGATAATAGGGGGTTAAAGGTTGCAGATGCTTTAGGTAAATGGACTGAGTCGGAGGTGCAATGTGGTTACAACGCCGACTAACATTATTCAAACGAACTGCTGTTTAAGCAGAAGACCGCCCGAAGCACTCTAGGATTAAACCGTGTATCCTAATTAGAATATTCTGTTTACACATGGGCACACCGGCACGAGCCAGGCAGCAGCAATATTTTTTGGCTTGGTGCAGAACCAGGCTGGAGCTGGAGTGTGAGGGGATGGATGAACATGCCCACACAGCAAGGCACGGAGCAGCTCCTCCCAGCAAACGTGTGCCATTGCCTCCCTCTAGAGAAAAGGCTCTGCATCCCACACGCACCTGCCAGCTGGACAGGGCTAAGACCTGTTATATTTCTAGAGCCAGGAATAAAAATAGGTAAAGTCAACAAGGAAGAGTTTTGTTTGATTTCCCATTCTCCCTCCCCTCCCCCACCAAGGTCGGTCTCCTTGTATTTTTTGTTCCCATCTGTAGTAAGAAAGCTTTGTTTCTGTAGTCCTAAGCAATGTACCCTGGCTTGTCTGCAAAGATAAGATGATGTCTGAAGGAGCCTAAGCCCAATGGACCTTGAGGAAATGCATATAATTCTTCAAAATATTATAGGACTTTAGTTTTATACTCCCCTAAAGCAGTATTTTCAAAGCTGAAACCCGTGCCCCACCATAAGAAGGACGTGGAGCTGCTGGAGCCCATCCAGAGGAGGCCACGGAGCGGCTGCCAGGGCTGGAGCCCCTCTGCTCTGGAGCCAGCCTGGCAGAGCTGGGGCTGTTCCCCTGCACAAGAGAAGGCTCCAGGGAGAGCTCAGAGCCCCTGCCAGGGCCTCAAGGGGCTCCAGGAGAGCTGCAGAGGGACTGGGGACAAGGCAGGGAGGGACAGGACACAGGGAATGGCTTCCACTGCCAGAGGGCAGGGACAGATGGGATATTGGGAAGGAATTGCTGGCTGGGAGGGTGAGGAGGCCCCTGGATCCCTGGCAGTGTCCAAGGCCAGGTTGGATGGTGTGGGAATCCAGGGCATCCCTCTGGCTGCCCTGGAAGGCCTGGGACACTGGCAGGGGGTCAGGAACCCCCCTGTACAGAGCTCCCAGAGACACTGTCTCTGATCTCTGTCCATGGAAAAGAGTTTTCAATATTACAGGATGAATTACAAGCTCAGAATGTTTGATATAAGTAATAATTAGTGTGGCATGGGTGCAAGTGTAGAATTTTAGGATTCTAGATAAGGGGTTCAAAGGAGGCAAGATGGAGGAAATTGGGTGTGTCTTGTCTTTTTCTTCTTCTTCATGTCTTCCATGTTTCACTGTAGTGTTGGCTTTTTTCTATTGGTTTAGGCTGGGGACACACTGTTCAACATAGATGATAGATATTGGCACATTATTGTAAATACAGCACAGGTAATTTCTGGTATATAATGTTTGTAACATCCCACTGAGGGCAGAGCCCCGCACGCTGCCCTGCAGGACAGACCTGAGACAGGGCAGCAGAACATGTTAGAGATAAGCAAGAATAAACAACCTTGAAAACCAGCACAGACGATTTTTAACTTCTTTGGCAGCGGGGCTGAAAGACAGAGACTTTCTACAATTTCGGAATCATTTAAATAGCACAGATTCAGGATAGGGCTTGGAGCAACCTGGGATAGTGGAAGGTGTCCCTGCCATGGTAGGGGGGTTGAAATTAGATTACCTTTAAATGTCCCTTCCAAACCCAAACCATTCTATGATCCAGTGACTGAATCCACTTGAACCTCTCCTTGACCCTGGCTATACCCATGTGACTCAGGTGACACTCAGAGGGATGTGGCTTGTGGGAGGAGGGGTGATGGCCACAGGAGGCTCCTGGACACTTGCACCTTACTTTTCAGCCTTTTCTGGCGCAGGGAAACCATTTCGTAGAGTTCCCGCTCTATGAGACCATCCCCTTCATCTTCATCCAGCCACTTCCCACATGGGAAAGTTTGCTCAATCCCAGTGAATGGGCAATAAACCACCACCTAGGAAAAGAGATTGGGACAGTGAGCTTGAACATTCTGCTACTGGCAGCCCACAGGGCCTTGGTACTGAAAACTTAAACAAACAGAGCAAAGACAGAATTGGAGATCTTGGTCCTGCTCTCAAAACCAGCTTTTCTGGATCAATCTGAATCAGACTGGTTGCACAAATCCTGGTTTGGAGTACAGCTACGACTCCTCTGTTCTGTTATTCCCATTTATACAGCAGTCACAATGGGTCAGCCAGGAAGAGGTGAAACACCAGGAGGGGAAGGGAATGGGAGCAGGCAAGGTGGCTGCAGCAGTCAGCATCATGTCAAGATGCTGACTAACAGGCCCTGCACCACACCAGCACAAGGCAGAGCTCTGCAGAAAGCACAGGCTACAAAAAACCTTCAAACATATCCATCCTAAGCTGATTTTCCTTGCCAGGAAAACTAAATTTCCTCGTAGCTTCAGGGTAGCCATCTGCCTTCCTCTCCACCCTCCTGATGACCTTGTAAATGATCTAGTGTTGTCACCAAAAGCTGGGAAATAAACTCTCCAACCAATTTGCTGGGTTGGAAAGACAAATTTACTTTCTTAACAATGCTGGATGCATGGGAATTTCACCTTAAATCATGAGCAGCAACCAAACAGACCACACGTTAAACTAATACATATTTGTCACATTTCTATCACATATTCATTACACTTCCTGTATGCATGAATATATGTTTCTTATTTCCATGAAGTTACTTGGAGTAGGGGTCTTTTGGTCATTTTATTGATCATTTGGGAACATCCCATTCCTCAAAATTCCCTTGTGGTCCTGGATTTTCTGGTGAATCTTCTTTCCTGGAGAGTATCTCAAATATGTGTCCAGGTTGTGATGCACTTCTCTTTATCATTCTCTGCTCTGGCACTCCATCTCTGTTCTCAAAACTAAGATATCTACCAGAACATATTAATCACTGGTGGAAGCAAACAAGGAAGCATTAGCTGGCACAAAACGTATTAGTCACAGATGCAGGGAGTTAACACAAGGCCACATTAATCTCTGGCATGTGTACTAAGCACTGGATGGTACAAAATCAAACATTACTCACGGATATAGGGATCACACACTATGTGCTAAACTTAGAAGAATTTTCCAACATCTTCCCCCACTGCTGTGAAGAATTCTTCTCAAAGAAATATAAGTTGTTGGGTTACAACTTGTTGTATTTCACCACTGCCTCCCAGTACCAGCTGTGGTCAGCCAGTTTCTATTGGGTTTTGGTTTTTGTTTTGGTTTGGTTTTTTGTTTTGTTTTGTGGGGTTTTTTGGTCATTGTTTGGTTGGGGTTTTTGATTTTTTTTTGTTTGGGTTTTTTTTGTTTGTTTGTTTGGTTTTAGGTTTTTTTCTTGGGATTATTATTTCTGAACCTCCAGAGCAGCATCTAGAAACTTGAGGGCAGTCTGAGCATAGATGATAACTTCGAAATGCTCAGCACAATCCAAGGCTGCATTTCTGTCTGGCCCCTTGGGCAAACATCTGAAGGTGCTTTTGGAGCTGAGCAAACAATAATCTCTGTCTTTGTGACTGCCGAGGGGTAATCAACCAATTAGCGAGTGATTGACTTATGCATCTAACATGCCTTTGAGGCAATCAGCTTCTCTCATGTGTGATGTATAATATTGACTTGTTAAACCGGGGATATTGCCTTCCAAACAAAAGTAGACTTATTTATTTATTTTTAAACTGGTCTGGGTTGCCGGGGTCAGGTTATGAATAGGGAGCAGGTCTGACAGCTACCTGCAGACAAAACTCTTGGCTGTGTTGGCCCAGTGGCAGCACTCTGTGACCTCAGAGGTCCCTTCCAAACTGAATGTTGCCATCAGTTTATGATTATTAAGTCTCACCTTCTCACAAAACCAGCCAGAGCTGACACCACAATTATCATGCCCAATGGTGACTCTGCTGAGAGGGCTGAGAAGGGCAGCTATCTCCACGTTGAAGAGATCCGTCCTGGCACGCTCAAATTCACCTCCTTCCAAGAAAATCTTCCCACTGTTCTTTAAGCCTTTGGAGCCGTGGAGGATTACGTGGATCTTGGAGTTGGTGCCAGCTCCTCTGATATCCCCAGTCACTACAGCCACATTGTACACAATGCCTGGAGGAATCAGAAATTTGGTCAGGGAAAAAAGAAGCGAGGAAAAGAGTCAGAGAGTTATGGCTTTGATTTGATTCATGTTGGAGACTCTATTTATTTCCCACTGGTCTGTTTCAGCTTCTGACTTGCACACAGTGCAATGTTTAATTTGTTTTTGTCCCACACATAACTCTGCAAAGTACACATCTACCTTCAGACTGCCCAAGAGAAACAGGCAGGGGGGACAAAGTCCCTGTTCCATAGCCCAACAAAAAAAAAAAAAGAAAAAAAACCTTTTTTTATTCACTCTGTGGTGCTGATTAGGTAAAGAAAGGTAAAAAATTAATTGACAAGTTTGATTTTGAGTAACACCAAGCCCGGAATATGTCAGAGAGTGCTGAGAGGGTGGAGAAATGTTGCTTTCAACAGTGGTGGCAAAATCTGCAATATCACAAAATTCTGAAAACTTTGGGTTTATTTGTCTATTTGCCTATCATGCTGCGGAAGCCATCAGGACCTCCACAGTCACAGTGAGAACCCACAGATCTCAGCAAAACAAGGACTGGGAGAGGTATCAGCCCACCTGGAAGAAACAAAAGTATTTCTGAAAAGAAACCTATTTACATTAAAGTTTCCTTGGGGGATTTTTTCCTATCTCTAACTGTTGGTCTAAGAATGAAAACACTTCTTCCCACAAACCCTACCTCCCAGCAAAGCACATCTTAAACCTGTCTCATGGTATCAAAAACATACCTAAACACTATAAGACCATGTAGAAAATAGTTGAGACCTAAGCCAAGTTTTTTTATTAAATCAGACCGAAATTTCAATAGAGACCTGGGATGAAGCAAAAACATCAGAACTCATTCTCTTACAAATAATCCTCTCTTTGAAATTTACATTAAAAAGTACTCAAGCATGCTTTACTGTTGGTGTATCTTCAACAAAACCCCAGAGAGCAGGAAAACAAAATACACGGCCATGACTGGTAAAAGACAAAGGAAGCTTTTTGGGATTGAATTACATTTCTTTCCATTTTTTTCCCCTTGATTTTGCCTAACAAGCATCCTGCAGTGAGGGATCTGCACCCAGACCACTTTCCTCACACACATGCAGGGGGAAATACTTCAGTAGATGCTGAAGACCATACAAGGAAGTAAAGAACAGTTGTTACATGCATCATCACAGTGTTTGCCTTCATGCTATTAAATAAATACAAGCAGAATGCTATCCAAATAATCTTTTTCCTTTTGACAAATTCTTTTATGGACTTAACATCCAGGTTTCTTTTAGCAGAGACATAAACTTTGGTTGTCTTTGCTTTAACCATGTTGGATAATAAAAAAAATGGATTTAGAGCTCAGCACTGTGTTTCTTGTTTAGTAAAAGGATGTTTAGCTCTCCAGACAAGAAACTGAACTACAATATTCACTACTTTGTGCTTTTGGAAATAACAAACACCTTCTTTGAGTGCTGGTGAGCAGTTTGCTGAAAGTACAAGCTGTATCTTTGATTTCATGCCCACCAGTCCCTTATCCAGGTGCACCAGGTGATAAACCAGGACATAGGTCCAGCACGGCTTCACAGGTGAGACACAAATGTGGGAAATGTGCTGGCAGTTCAGGAACCCTCACACAAAACAGCCTATCACCAGCAGAGGCTTACTGCAGGTCTCCCTAAGCATAAGGCATTCAATCTTCTAAAGAAAACATGGCTCATAGCCTTTATTTCCCATTTTCTACCAGGGATTCAGGCCATGGTATTACCTGTGGCTTCAGTGCCCCCAACTAGAATGTCCCTCTGTATTTTCCCATCATCTTCGTCTAAAGCAAACCAGCGTCCAACTGGGAATTGGTACACACATTTATTGCCAATGTCCTCAATGATCACCTAAGAGGAAAGAGACACCAAATTGGAAAATATCATGGGAAAAGCAAAGGTTTTACGCAACATGGTGGCAGAAGAGCAGAAGCTTTATGTATACGCTCCTACTTGATATTTAACGTACTCAATACTCAAGCAGATCCCACTCCGCTCCCTACTGACAGAATTTCAGACAATCATTGAGTAAAACCCCAGTTTTTTTCTTTTCTTTCTTTTTTTTCCAGTGAACCCACTCTGCATCTCTTGCAGTGTACAAGACCAGATGTCTCTACTATCAAGACCAGTTGGCCTGGCCTGTCTTCCTTCTCTCCAGAGCCTGTTTGCTGGCTACTCTTCTCCATCAGCTGAATGACAGCTCTGTGTTCTGCTTTGGGAACAGGCTGTGTTCTCTCTTTCTCTGCTTTAGAACCTGTAATAAAATAATGCCTAGGCATTTCAGGGTAAATCCAGACCATCAGAAGAGCTTGTGCAACACAGTAATATCACTAGATCCCAGTCAGTTACTACAGGGTGGAACCATTGCAAAGGGACTGCTGTTATGACCCTGTGGCAAGAAACAGCTTCTTATTTGGAAGGATTTGGCTCTTGGACCACAGAGAGATGAAGCTATGCAAATATTATGAGGTTTAACAAGGCCAAGTGCAAGTGCCCAAGTGCCCAAGTACCCGTACCTGGGATGGGGCAATCCAAAGACAGGCTGGACGGAGAATGGATCAAGAGGAGCCCTGGGAGAAGGACCTGGGGGTGCTGTGGGTGAGAGCTGGACCCACCCCAGCCTGAACCCCCCCTGCCCTGGGCTGATCCCCCAGCGTGGGCAGCAGGGCAGGGGGGATTCTGCCCCTGTGCCCCTGAGCTCAGCTGAGACCCCACCTGCAGAGCTGCCCCAGCCCTGGCTCCAACAGCACAAGGACGTGGAGCTGCTGGAGCCAGACCAGAGGAGGCCACGGAGCGGCTGCCAGGGCTGGAGCCCCTCTGCTCTGGAGCCAGCCTGGCAGAGCTGGGGCTGTTCACCTGCACAAGAGAAGGATCCAGGGAGAGCTCAGAGCCCCTGCCAGGGCCTCAAGGGGCTCCAGGAGAGCTGCAGAGGGACTGGGGACAAGGCAGGGAGGGACAGGACACAGGGAATGGCTTCCACTGCCAGAGGGCAGGGACAGATGGGATATTGGGAAGGAATTGCTGGCTGGGAGGGTGGCTTATACTCAGAAATGGTTTTTCACCTCTAGATGTAAGAATGTCTGAGTATAAGCCACTCTAAAAACACAAAAACCATGAGAACAGGTTCAAACAGGAGTGACAACACTAGAGTGTCCAAGTATTGAACCAAATTACACAAAAAGCATCTAAACCCAGTAGACAACAACTGAGTTATTTTAGCTTCCATCTGAATTTGCAAGGCCAAAGCTGCATTTTACTTAATTGTAAATATCCTGCAGGCTTGTGGCAGAATATAGGGTTGGTGTGTTGGCTGCAAGTAGTCACTACATCAGGTTTCGGGACTCGAGCAACCTTACCAAGCTCTTTAAAAATTATCTTATTACACCCATGATGTGAGAATGAGGTTCTGTGGTTTTTGCCCACCATTATTTATTACATTGAACACAACTTCTCTGTTTTTCATTTCTACATTTTTCATGAGCTGACAACGTTGTAACTTTTCCTGAATTGTGTGGTGGTGGTGAAGCATGTACTAGTATTTGCATTTGTATTACATTGAACTATCCTGTTATTGAGGATTTACAAATATGGGGTCAGGTCTTCTGTGGATTAAAGCCAGCTATGTTAAACTACATTAGCAGAGGAAAGAAAATGAGTCCCCTTTTAAAATATTCCTTCAACCATTATACCTTCCTACCTGTAATACCTTCCTACCCCATAGCAGGAGATTAAAATGGGCAGAAAAGTGGAAGAATAGGGTCTTTGTGGCAAGCATACCTCTTTTCCTGAGCCAGTGATAAATCACTTAAATTTGGGCAAGCTATGAGTCTGCAAATTTTCACTGTGAACAGATCCAACAGATAACTCTTGGATTCTGGTATTTTTATGGTCATGGGTTAAGTCAAGAAAATGAAATTATTTGTGTCCTTATCAGTAACCTGTATCACCAGCAATTATCCTTAAAACTCTTGCTACCAGACCACTGAGAGGGTGAGATATTTTGAGCCCATGAGATGCTTATGTTTAATGTCTCAGGAATAACTAACCTTTGCAAGGAACCAGCCAGCAGAGCCACCCTTGTTATTATGCCCGATATTAATTTTTCTTAATTTTCCCAGATTTGGAGCATCGAGCGTGAACTTGTCTTCTGCTCCTTTTTCAAAGTTGTCTTTGTCATTGTCCAGTTTCCTCACACCTGAATGGGCAAAGAAAAGGTAAAAATAAAAGCAAAACAAACAAACAAAAAAGCCCCACAACAAACCAACCAACCAAACAAAGAAAACCCAAAAAATGCTCCAAACAAGTAAGTAATAAATAATAACTCCAAGGAGGAAAGGGTTGCTGGTACATGCATGTTTGTAAGTGAAGAAATATTTAGGAATGTTAGAAAGTCACCACTGACTGAATCAAATATTCCCTATATATCAGCCCTTTGCACCCAGGATTCAAGGCAAAGGCAGAGGACTTTATATTCTAATAAAAAAGGTTCCTTTTCTCAAGCACACAAAAGACCAGGATTTCCACTCTAATGTCACAATTATTTGCAGCTCTCAGAGCTTTCAGAAATATATATCCAGATGGCTCTTAAATATATATTTTTTTTCATATCACCACATTTCCCTTTTATTTTTACTGTCTTTGAAAATCTCCAAACTGTTCAAGGAAGGCTTTGGTCACAAGCTGCAGATTCTGACATTTCAGGACACAGAACTCTATTCTGTATCTGAGAGGAAGGATTTATTTTCAAATTAGGACCCAGCCAGGGCTGTTGGCTTTTTCCTGATCTCACAGGGGTTTGCCTTTATGAAAAGTATTGAAGCTGTGCCCTCGTTTGCAGCCTGTGTGATGCTGTGTGTGGGATGAAACCCACCCAGTGCAGAGAAAGAGGTCAGTGGGCAACTCATCCCTCTTACCTTAGAGAGGATGAGTCATTCTCTAGGGGTGTTATTTCTCTGTGTGGATACGACAGAATGCCTGGAGACCCAGCTAAGATTCAGACTCCCACTTTGGGATATCTTCAGTGAGATCAGATGGATCCCCCTGTAAAACTCTGGGGGATTAATCAATGATAAACCCTATCCACCAGGTTTTATAATCTGTTCAAGGACACCTGGCACACATCATATCATTTGAATTTGACAGGATATGTGCAGTGTAGAAGTAAGAGAATATTTGTTCCCTGGTTACAGGAATCTCCAGGAATCTCCACCCACTTCTCTTCATGACCCAGAGAACTTGGTTTGGGCACATCTTTTAATATTATTCAATTAATTTTTTAAAAAATTAAATTAAAATTTCCAGACCACTGTTGCATCACATTCTGTATATAAAAATAATTACAATTTTTTAAGCTATTCAAACACAACTAATATAAACCTCGATTAAATTATTTTTACAAGTGGCCAAGCAGGCTCAGCCACCACCTTTGCCACAGACAAGGGATGTCATTAACCATCCAGGTACCTGGAAAATGAGACACACAGTTCCCACTGCATTCCCTGTAAATCCACATTGGTGTTGGACCCTTCAGTGGGTTGGCACTTTCTCCACTGCTTTCTGCTGGTGGTTTATGCTGCGTTTTCCCAGACTCTGCTTTTTTTTAACATCAGGTAACGTGAGTCATGCCCACACCCAGCCACATCTGCTTCATTGCAAATGCACCTTCCAGGGGCTGTGGATGAGAGGGCCCCCAGAGTTAATGGCACCATTTGTTGTGCCTTTCACTCAGCCAAATCATTCTGCATTTGCCAGATTGCCTCTGTGTGTGTGTGTGTATGTGCGTGTGTGTGTGTGTGTGTGCGTGTGTGTGCGTGTGTGTGTTGTTCAGATCACAGGCCTGCAGAGCAGGAGAAAATATTTTAGGAAATTATTTGCATTTGAATACCTGTGTCTCCTTTCTCACCGAAGATATTAATGAAGACATCTGCATCTGTTCCACTGCCGCTGAGGTCACCAGTAAAAACCCGGACCACGTATTTGTTGACTGCAATGAGGGAGGCAGAAATCCCAATACATTAATAACTCAATGGTTTGATGCAAAACCCAACAATACAGACCAGCTCAGGCTGTGCTCATGCTATCTTGAAAGTGTGGTCTGAACTGTGGCTCTTGGTAAAATGACCCCCTTCTCCACAAGAGGAATAAAATCCATAGGCAGGATTCTGACACTGCATATTCATTGCCCAGGGCAGAAGGACAGATCACTTGGCTCCTGGCCTTGACACTGAAGAGTGAAATAGAAGAGAAAGTGAAAAATTTGATGTGGATACAAAGGCATTAATTTAACTCGGACCTATGAACCAGCTCTGCTTTTTCCAAATATTGATGAGTTACGGAATCAGCCCAAGCTCAGGCCTGACCCCAGTTCTATCCTAGAGCTATTTTGAAAGTTTAGTTTATACAAAGAAAGTAGTTTTGGGAAATAATATCATAGTAATAGAAAAAGGAATAATGGATTTAAACTAAAAAAGGAGAAATTTAGACCAAGTATATACAGTGGGGCAGTGGTGAGGGACTAGCACAGGTTGCTCAGAGTTGTTGACATCCCACCCCTGGGCATGTCCAAAGCCAGGCTGTACGGAGCTTTGAGCAACCTGGTTTAGTGGAAAGTGTCCCTGCTCATCGCAGGGAGTAGAACTGGATGGATCCGAAACCTTCTCTGATTCTCTGAAATGTCAGCCACACTGCATGAATCCAAAGATGTGAAGGTGTCCCCTCTTTCCTTAAAAAAAAAAAACAAAAAAAACAAACACACCAAAAAAACCCACAAAAAAACCAAGAACAACAAATAAATCCAGTCATCCAGTCTTTTTTATTTAATGAGGAAACAATAGTAGACCCAGGAGTATGGCACCAAACCCTTGAGGGTGAGGCACATCATGAACATCACACACATGTCAGTGAATTTGAGAAGAAAGTTCTTCAAACAGATCAGGGTGGGACCCACTTGATTCCCAAGGACAGCAAAAGTGAGCTTAGTTTCTTCTGGAACCAATGAAAAAGTGCCCATGACTTTCAGTGTGACTTTATTTGAGCCAAATATAAGAAAAATTTGAGCCAAATATGAACAACTTTCAAAATCTGCTACTGAAGTCACCTGACTACCTTGTTCCTCCAAGCAAACAGCCATGACAGACATCTCATGCTGTATCTCCTGTGAAAAATGAGTATTAGAGGCAGGCAGCAAGACACAAAACAGATGAAGATGAGTGCAAAATCTGGTACTGAACAGTACATTATATCATACAAGCCCTGAACAGTGTTGCTGTTACTGAACCCTGGGCAGCTGATACTGAGGGCTCTGTGCCATGTCACTTCTGTATTTCTGAGTTCTGGGCACACTGATTCTGTGAAAGGGTCAAATGCACAAATCTCCTCACGCACCAATCCTTGGCAAAAATAGAGCTCCTTTCACCACAGAATCATGAAATCATTAAGGCTGAAAAAGACCTCTAAGATCCTCAAGTCCAGCCATTAACTGTAATTCTTGGTTTGCAAATTTTTTTCCTTTTGGCAAGTGCCAAGTTAGAGAATAATCTTTCCTGAACTTCCCAGCCAGCTGCAGAAATGGGTTCTCTCAGGAGTCGCCGAATATCACCCAAACTGGGTTACCACTTGCAGAACAGATCTCCCACCTCCTCCACCATAATCAGTGCATATTAAAAGTTATTCCAAAAGACACCAGAGGGTCTGGTGTACATGCTCCCACAGAGGCAGAGGATGTGAGAGCAAATGTATGAGGAGCGGTTGTTGGACCGTCCCCTGAATTACAACGATGCTCTCAGCTCCCAGGGTGAGGAGTGCAAGGGCAGAACCCAAACAGAAGGGAAAATCACTTGTCACAGTTTAATGAATGTGCTGGGGAAAGGCTAAAAATCGAGCTGACATCCCTGGTGCCTCATCCCAAAACATGCCATGGCAAATAAAATAGTAATGAAAAAACTGCAAAAAATACTAAATAACAAGAAAGAGAAGATCAGAGCTGGCCTCAGACAGGGGAGAAAATGCCTTAATGATTCTCTTTAACTCTTTAGCTTCAGTTCACAGAGCTCTAACAACCTGCTAGAGATACACCAACACCAAAAGTGTTCATTTGCATTAACAAAGTGTATGGATGGTGCAATTTACATCTCCTACTTGGCCACTAAGCTGCTCTAACTAAAACTGACCCATTGTACCTTGCAATCTTTAATTACAGACCATGTTTTCCAAGAAGCTTTGCTCCTTGCACCTCCTCTAGAACATTTAATCTGATGTCAGTGATTAATTTTCCATTCCACTTTTTGGGAGACAGAATAACCTGATAGGATACAGTATCCTCAAAAGGACAAGCTACAGTGGCTTAGCTTACATTCCCCTTTTAGGGGCTTTAAGCCTCTGAGATATAGACCAGAATGACATCTCAATGCATGCAGAGCATCAGGGAAGACATACAGAGAGCAAGTCCATGAAAAGCAATTGAGCAAACACAGTTACAGGAAGAGCACCTTGCATGGCTACTGCAGAAACACATCTGGCCAGCAAGAAAAATGCTGGTGAAATTATTTGCCAGATCAAAAACCTTTAAAGGTTTCTCAGCATGGCTGTGTTCAATATGAGGTCCAGAATGACATCTTTTGACCTCCTACTTGGAACACCAAGGGCTCTGTACACATACAGGGCTGCTGTCAGTGTCAACCTGATGAGGAGCCCTGTGGCAGAGCTGACTCCTGAGCCCATGGATGGGCCATCACTTTGGACTGGTGGCAGTCACAGGGCACTGTGCTGTGAGGGTCTTATGTTGTCCCCTATAATATAATAATGGCTGTGGTGTGTGGCGGGTCCTGGCACAGGTCTATTCCATGCTGATGTGCTTCTGTAGGCAAAACTACTTCAAGAGCTTTAAAGGTCCTTGGCTTAGCTTGGAGCACATTCCTGCTTCACAAACTATGCCTAGCCTATGTTCATAAGCTCTTTTCTTTCATTTTTTCCTCCTTAATGACTCTGAAACTGGATGCTTAAACCTGTCCTCACATCTGACCCTTAGGTCTGCTTTCAGAAAAAATTCTGCTCCTCCATCTTCAGGAAGCAAAGCCTGAGCCATGCAGAATTTTTGCCAGCACTTTCTCCCTCTCTCAAGTAATTTGACATTCAGCTGCAGCAAGGAGAGGAGCTCTTCATGCTGCTCAGGGGTCCTTCTGTGCTTTGTACATCAGCACATCTTACAGAGTGACATGGTGGATGAGCAATTTAAATGGAAAGGAATGCTGCCTCTTAAAACAACAGTGAGGATTCAGCTGCTAAAAGCATGCAAGAGAAAGCTCTCACTGCAGCCAGGAAGAGATCTGCCATAAGTCAAGTACTCTTCATTTTGATCATGGGTGAATGTTGTTCCCTATTCTTTAAACCTATGGCAGAAGCATCTTTTAAAAAAAAACCCACTTTGCTTTATTTTTCTTTAAATTCCAATGCATGGCTCTGACTTTATCTGTAAAACACAGATCAAGATGTTGCCTGGATATTTTTTTTCCTCCTGAATGCTTTTCCTAGCACTCAGAACATGCAAAATGTTAATGTAAAAGCTGTGCCTTCATCGAGCAGTGCACAGGCTCACTGCAGCACAGGCACAGGGAGGGGAGCTTTCCTAGGAGCAAAATTAGCAGCTTCAGAAGCACGTACTGCAAGATGCCAAGAGCAGAACAGCCAACAAAAAATCAGTAGGAAGAGCAGTAGCTATTTTTTCTTGTCTTTCTACTTTCACATTGCAATGCACAAGTGTAAATGCCCTGTGTGGTAACAGCATCTTCCTTTTCTTCACAATTGTGTGTCTGCATTTGAAGACATTGCCAGGATGCCATCCCTGGGAGACAGTGGGGTGGCACTGATTTGACCCTACTGCATTAATTTAGCAGAGGAGTGGCAGTCAATCAGCCTGTCTGCTACTGATTAACTCAGCCTCAGATTTCAACAGACAAGAGGAAAGGTTAATTTTGCACTCTGTGCTGGAGTCAGGCTCTCTTCACTGAGAGTCAAGAGGTTTTTGTCTGTGAATTTGATGCACTCCCGACACATCCCGGGGGATGAAGGGTATGGGGCTGCTGATCTCCTAGCCTCCAGTATTCTCCATCCAGGCTGTTCCCACTGTCATCTCCATCCTGGGTGCAGCATTAGCCCCATACACTGCCAAGAATCTTTTTGTCCAGACCCAAAACCCCTGGGTGCTTTTGTGCAGCCTCTGTCCTGCCTTCAGCCATGGAAAATGCACGGACATATCCCAGACAAATCCTGCCACCTGCAAGCTGCAGCTGACTGCCCAGCCATGTGATATTCATCTGTTAATGTCATTTATTTATCAATATGATATCATGGTCACTTGAAGCACCATAGGATGGAAATTCCTAAAGAAATTTTGTATCTACTATTATTTGGGGCATTTGATAGTGTGTTTGTGCACAATCTGCTGAAGGAGACTGAGATTTGGGCAGGAAAAGCAATTTGACTGTGTTTCATTACCTGGGGTTATCACCTCCTGCGGGGCACAGTGAATTCCCAGCTGTGCTTGCCTCCCATGTGCCTGACCTACTGTGGAGCAGGGCAGCAGCATCCAATATCTGGGAAATGTCACAGCCTTTACAGGCAAAGCACATGGGGTTAAAAGCAAGGAACTGAGCCGTAGGCAGCGATGGATCCTTTTCATAAGGCAACTCTGAGCAATTATCCTTCTGTTTTCACAGTGCTCTCAAGAGCAGCAGTGTTTGAGATCCATCCTTTGCTGCTCAGCACTGAGTAGGCAGATTTGGAAAGGGGCTGGGGGAAAGGGATGTGGATAGGGGATGGCCACTGCTGCCATCTCTGAATTGCTGCTGAAAAAGGAATACTTTTGTGGTTAGTGTGAAAAGAATTGTTGCTAGAGGGAGAGGGAGGCACCTGGACCTGCAGACAAGGTACAATTGCAACTTGAGTCTGCCACAGCATTGCATGAGCTCAGGATGGTGGTTTAATCCC